GTGGTCAATACGAAGATCGAGTTCAAGTTGTGTTTCTCATTTTTAAGTCATTTCCCCTTTCCCCCAAATGTTTTCAGTCCACTGTCTGCCTCTTGCGCTAAATCGTCCAACCCCTGTATTTTCAATCATTGAATATGGGAGGTGTTTTCTCAGTAACAGCAGGTGAAATTTGTACGGATGCTTGCTCCTCTGTGTACTGGTAGTCCGTGACAGACTTTACTGAGCCATTTCGATCATCTGTAACTGGTTTTATAATCTTCGGGAACATGAACATGGTATGCATACCAGTAACACATTTTATAAAATTTCCTTTACATGCAGTTGAAAGCAAAATGGTGATTTATTTTGTAGATCTATTTATCTACGGGAGCAAACATGTCCTGTATGTATTTTTGTCTGCACTAAATACGACTACAAATCATCACTTGTTCGTGAAATTCCAAGGTGTCAACGCCTGTTCTGTTTGGTTGGCTCAGCGCAGCTACAGCGCATGGCGCTGGGAAGGAATTATTTCTGGTGTAATCCCAAGGGTGTGGTCACGCTGGCTGAGCCGCTGAAAGTCAGAGAGCATCGTGTCAATGGGGAGGTGGTGACAATGATGGACACAGCCGACCAATTGTGAGAGACTCAACTCGGCCTCCGAACGATCAAGGACATCTGCTAGTGTGTCGGCTATCTCGGATTTCTGTCGAAATCCATTAACACTAAGAAAATTACAATTTAATTTCAAAAGTTTCCTTCGTCTGCCACGTTTCCATTTTCACACCTGTGTGTCATCTTCCACATCAATGCTTACGTTGGATGATATGGAGTTTAAAAAGTCATGGGGTTTAACGTCTTTGAAAAAGTTTTACCCATTAAGAGATACACACAAATTGGCAGGTAAATTGATTTCTGTACAAGAGTTCAAGCATTCTGTTTTCGTGAACGAATTTGGGTTAAAATGATTACGCTGGCTCCATGGGATGTAATACATCATCTAACCCGGAGTGGCACCCAGGAGGCTCCCCTGAAATTACCTCTTTATAATCCTCGATCGTGCATACTTGTGTAGCTTGGCACTTTTTTCTTGTCTGAGGAAAACAGGATTTGAATTCTCTTGGAAGTGTAGGTGTCGCGTATGTGGTAGGCAGTAGCTGTTAGACACCATTGTTTCCCCATAATCATGTCTACAAATAAATATGCATATTCACCGCAACGCACTCTAACGATGTGTATTTGGAGTCTGTATTAGAATGGCCGTACATTTGCGTTTCACTGTTGCTTTCTCTGTGCTCAATTGGAGTGGGACCGAAGTTTAATTACAAGTACGTGAGGACGGCAATGCATCAATTACGACCCCACATTCCAGAATACCACTGACCTTAGCAACAAACGGGATGGCCCCCGTTTAATCTGGCTCCCAGACCCACGGGTGCGGCACTAGTGCACACGGGGGAAAGCCGTTGATGCATGCGCTGCACTTATTGCCGAGTTTAATAAGTACTGAGGCGCGCTTCCATTTATCTCCATCAGTGAGTGCCGATAGTTGGCAATAATTCATGATTAACAGAAAATAAACGCGGCTATATATCATCGGTCTAATGGCCGTATTTTTGGCCCTGGCTATGAAGTGGGCCCACTTGAATAGAATGAGAGAGAGTAGATAGTGGCGCAACAATGATTACGATGTTTTTCCCAATTACATCAAAGCGGTTGCGCTCATCTTAAACTTAAGAATAGATCTATCTATGGATAAGCCCGGTAAAAGTCATTGTACTCTCAGAAGTATTCATTTGTGGAACACAGACAAAAGAACGTCCGCGTGTCTGGTATCTGGACACATTTTCCCAATGATACGCACCTACGCATTGGTCCATTCATGGGCTTCTCACCTTTAATGAGCCACTGAAAAGTCCCTTCTTCATCCTTCGTCGTCACGGCAACGACATGCATTTATCAGGCATGGATGCACATGACCGTGACATGAGGTTGCGTTGAGATATTAGGAAACTGGAGGGGCTAATAACGGACGCCATGTTGTACTGAGCCCGCGGCTTAATGTGCCATGACATAGGCTCATGCGGGCGGATTGGCGTTGGCGCGTAAGTTCCCTCGGGCCCATTCTCACTGAAGACTGCCTGAGGTAGAAACACGTCTGGATTGGTTGAAACTTACTTCCAACGTTAAATGCAATTACTTTGTTGGAAAATTAGGAAGTAACAAAATACCTGGGGACGGTTTTGCTTGAGGCGAACCTCGCTTGGAATGCATGAAAGACAAAAAAGTAATCTGGCTGTAGGTAAACATTTCAAACGCACCCGGTTTCTTCGATGTGAAAACATATCTTCCCAACATTGGGGGGAAAACGGTTCCAGTCTTTCACAACACAACATCCCCTTTGCTTCCTGTGGAAATTGGGCCAACTGCCATTCACGAGCTCACCAATGCCTCGGAAAAAAATTGCTTCGGTAAATACCTCCAAAGTTCACCCTTCTGTGAAATTTAGAAAGGCTTTCAGCATGTGAATGTCAAGGGTGTCCATTTACTTCATCATTCTTCTCCAACCTCGGGTGTGGGCCGAATATTGACTCAGTAAACAGGAACATAAATGTGTCTCCGTAACGGTAGTTATGTGCTCGGGGAATTTGTGTTCGACACAACGTTGTTACCACAACAGCGCAGCGTTTCAAAATGCTGCTGATAGAGTGTGTCAGATGCGTCTCTTCGTTGAGCAGGACACTTGTGCACACATGGTCCTGTTGTTCCATTTGGCCAGCCGCTTTTGAAAATGTTTTATGAGGGATCATGGCCCATAAAGCTGATTCAAAGTTGAAAAATCATCAGACTTGGTTTGAGGGAGAACACAATCGATCAAAGGTAACACATTTCTCCATCTACCATCACAAATTTCATGTGATTATTTTGCATTTTGTATATCATAGGATATCTTCTCTGAAACAAACAGTTTACAAACTATTTGGAAAAAATAGCTGCTTTCAAAATGCACGGCCTCAGCATTCAGTATACATTTTGCGAGCTTGAACAATTCTATATAGACTCCAGTGTAGAAATGCCTATTTCTTGAAGTCGGGCATGCTTATATGTGCATGTTCTGTTCATTTCGAATGACCTTGGTCTGTGATAATAATGCACAAAATTGCATGCCACGACAAGCATTGAAAGTAGCTTAATGAAAGCAATTTAGTGCAGCTTAATGCCGTGCAATCAAGTCATTTGGATAAGTTGCAGCGAAAGGTATGGTAATAACATTAAGCCTACAGACGAGGCTGACACGCGTAGTAGAGACTCAATTCTGCTCCGAGAGTTAGGGCACTTGCCTCGTACCCCATCGTTTGCTATTCCTGCCGACCCCAAATACCTACTCCCCAATAGTCTTGTACTGTAAGAATAGAATGGGTGACCGTCATCGCGTGCTAAATGGTTGTCTCTTTACTGCCAGGTTTCGTTTGGGTAAGATCTAAGGAACAAGCCCGTCCAATCCCTGTAAAGCCGCCTCGCCTGTTTTCCTTTCATCTTGTGCATTTTTGTCGGCAAGTGCGTCGCCTTAAAGCGACTGTCTGTCATTGAATGTTGCTCGATTTTGAAAGACCCATAGGCTCAACGAAATGCATTGTCGCGCGGTTGCATATTACCACATGCTAATTTTTCCAAAGGTCAGTTTGTATAACCCATCCTTTTAAACACTAGCATCACTTGTAGGTCTTTACTTTTTGAGCCACATGAAAAAACACCTAAATTTGACTTCACGTTAGGCAAGGAAGCAGCAAAGAACCTGTGCATTCCAGCATTCTCACATTTTATTCAGTAACGTGGGGGAGGGAACTTTCAGCCACATTTTGTGGACGCCTACATCTTGCTCCCAAATTGAAGAGATGTTTCTTAGCTTGAGTTAAATAATCCACAGGATTTGAGCCTATAATTAATCAGAGACGATTGTTATGAGCCTCATGGGGAGGGGGTGAATCCCCGGTGAACCCCGAGAAAAGTCAGAAGTGTCCATTTAAACCTGCATCGCAAAGTAACAGGGATGGATTTGGATGGCACCGGCACATTCTGAGCACCAATTACTCACGTTTCGGGGCTGCTATGGGGAAACCGGTAATCCCGATAATCTCACCCGGGCTGGGACGAGGGAAGCCCGCAGTCTCGCTCGCTAATCACGTGTCTCTGGGGAATATCATAAGGTTGATCACTTCGATATACATTAACGTAGGTGTGAAAAAAACTCGCACTTTGGGATGAACCGTGCCTTCATAACTTTCCAAACAAGATTTCTGTAGCTTTCCAAATTTATATCGATGCAACGTGGTATTTGCGACATTGATTTCTTCCTTTCAAAATTTCAAATTTAATACCGGTACACATATTTAAAACTATACTCTTTCCTGCGTTTAACCTGTAAATATTTGACATTATCCATACATGTCATCAGCGTTAAAATCCCAAATAGAATCCATTTCCCAAAGAATATCAAAGCATCGATTCTCCATCATCTATTAAGCATTATTATCCAATGTCTATCATGCACATTTCGATGAACATGAATGGACAAATCACATTTAACGATGCGGATGATTGAGAGTAGGCCTACTAAAACGATTCACTGAGATACAAATCTTCATTTTAAATACAATACGAAAGATTAATAAAGCAATTGGAAAGAGTTACAATTTGGAATGCCTTACCAATCGTATAATTTTTCGTTGAAAAATCTAATAGGTAACACAAAACTATACGAAGATCTATTATGGGAACTTAAACCTCATAAACGCAAGCACACGGAATTGCAGAATTACACATAGTCAGACGTCGTTGGATTACATAGGTTTTGGTAAGGTTAGTCAAACTTCCTTAGGATAAGGTTAATGGAAACACACGGTACCGGACAGAAAAAATATAGTTCGTGCAAACTTCTTAAGGTGTGATGTATTTTTCAGAATCTACCCAACATTTCAAGGCACAACCTCCAGAATGTCCTCATATATTTTCACCAACAGTTTGTCAACTGCTCTCCAAGGGCGTGGCCGCCATCTTTGGGCCGGCATCGCAGGATAGCGCCATGGCCGTGGGGTCGGTCTGCAGGTCGATGGACGTCCCGTTCGTGGAAACGAGGTGGGAGTTTGAAGCGCGCGAAAGCCTGGTGACCTCCATCAACCTCCATCCCAGCAACAGGCACATCAGCCTGGCTATCAAGGATATCGTGCTCTCCTACCACTGGACGACAATCACGATCGTATACGAGGAGGAGTCTGGTAAGAAAGTTTCTGAAGGAGTTGTGGGGTGTTTTGACCTTTGATTTTCAGTCTCACTATTGCTATTTTACACACCAAATGTATTGTGCTGACAACAGCAGCACCATCAAACCAGCCGCCAGTTTTGTTGAGATTAATTGAACATTTAAATTTAGAGCAGTTTCTCATTAAAAATGTTTATTTCTTTGAGTTCACATTTGTATAAGTATCGTGGTGATATTGTGTTTTTGCTAAGTTTAAAAGGGCACTATTCTCGCTGGTTCTCGCTCAGCCCTAACACGCCTACAGGAGGTCCTTCACGCCTCGGCAGAGCCCATGAAAGTCAAGGTAACGGTGTACCGTATCCCCTCCCGGCCCGACATGCGGGAACTACTGAAGGAGATCAAGCGGTCTGGGGCCCGTCACATCATCATCGACTGTCGCAGCCAGACGCTGCCACTGCTTCTCGAGCAGGTAAGGAGGCAGACACCCCCCGGCATCAGAGGTAATGTGCGGATCCAGAAACAACTTTTGGGGTGAGGGTGTCTTGGGTAATCCAAATTATAGCAATTTGTTACTTAACCTTTTCTTGCTCATCTTAGGAGCGAGGCTATACATTTGGGCTCCTCACACGCTTTTTGAAAGCGAGGGAATTGAAAGAGTCTCCAAAATCGTCTCTTAAAAATTTATTTTCAAAACAATGGCACGGCTCCCGTTATCCACCTGCCCCCCGGTTCCACCAGTGATCAGAGACCAGTCAATAAGAAAATGTAGACCAATTTTTCTTGTGAGTTCAGCTGCAAATAGCACCCACCGCCTTAGGAGCGATGGTCCCTAAATTGTGTTGTGGCGTTTGAGCGCAAACAGTCGGCAGAATAGCAACACGTTAATAACCCGTCATTCCGTCATGTGTCGACTGATGTTCATACCATGCTCTTCGAAGGAAAATAAATAAACGAATATAGCATTCGACTGAGTGAACCAGGCAATACGGAATGACATACAGATTTCGTCATTCTGTTTAAATAACCCCTGGATACAAAGTCTACGCATTCTGTCTCCCAGTGAATGTCACAATCGTTATAACCAAATTTATCCTGGCTAATTTCATCAGACATGTCCCCTCGGTCGACATGGAAATATTGAACCAAGCCATGGTGGTTCTTGACTGAGTGGGCGCTAAAGGGTAGTCAGCTTGCAAGGGGAACGTTTGGCTTGCTTGTCGTTCGAGTACAGAATGTCAAGATCTTTGCATAAAGAATGCCTCGCAGAGGCGGATCCAACTTTCAAGAAACGGTGGGGGCGATAGGCGTACATAAGGGATGCCCTGCTGAGGGAGTCCGAAAGCATCATGCGTCTTTCCCTGATACAAAGAGAACCTCAAAACCTACGATATCAATTTCTCCTTTAATCTAAGCTCATCGATGTAATTGTTTAACTATACTTTGGATAGATAGACGGCGCAGTCCTCGTCCAGGATTTTTTGGTACTCATTTTCCGTCAATTCAATGGTAGTTCCATTAAAAAAAAGGCAAAAAGGACCTTTTGGACGATCCCACATTCAAATTTAGAGACCCTCTGTGATGCGCTTTGGAAACGGTACTTTCGGAAATCACTGATTCGGTACTCCCGAACATCTACATGAACGAGTGCAGATTCATCAAACCTCGACTCCATGGCACGGCAAGATCGACCCCGTGGGAACGAGGTTGAGATTCACCAAACCGTCAGCTTTTGTACAAGCCGCATCCGAATTACTGGCTCCGGTTGCGGCCGCGTGCATAAACTTATGGAAAACAGACCAGCCAGCGAGGCGGCAACAACATAACAATAGCTTTGTACAATTCGGTCGCATAACGGGTTTGCCCTTACCCAACGTATATTGATAAACACTGTATGCTCAGTGCTTGTCCGAGAGCATACAGTGTTTATTAATATACGTTGGGTAAGGGCAAACCCGTTATATATAATTAACATCTCCCCAACGCAAAAATACATCTTGAAGTATTTATGTCATATTTTCCAATCCAGCAAAGATGCATGTTGAACTGAACACGCACACACAAAAACCACCCTCCCACCCGGATTTTTTTTAAATGACGCTCATCAATTACTTTTATGTGGCCTTATCTCTTACAATAAGCTTTTTAGATGGCAGAAATCGTTAATCGTCAATGATCATTGCCTCGGTTCCCGAAAAGGCAACTGAGATAATTCAGTGCACCATGCTGTAAAGCTGAAATAATTATTGATAATAACATTAATGTAACTAATGAACTCTGGCTCGCCAACGTAATACGTTTGTGAGGGGTCAAAACTTGGATAGAGGCTTATTTTACATTATGGATATATATTGCTCACGGAGACCTAAAAAGAAATCCAAAGGATTGTCCATTACGGGCATTCACTAAGCCAGCGCAGACTCCGTTTAAAAGCCCGTCACTGTGTGCATGTCTGTGGTATATAGAGTTGTAACGCGTTATGCGATGGATTGAATGCCCGAAAATGTGTCACTGGGCAATTACCAGAATTATGTTTTTGTCTGTCCCTTCAAGGGCTTTGCCGTATTTCGTTTGTCCAGTGCGAAACAGACCTGTTGTCCAGTTAGATCATAGAGTAGGGAGCTGTGAAGATCTTACCGACAGATGACAGCCGATCTTGCTGTATTCCCCTAACATAGCATCCAATGCTTCTATCTCTGGCATGGTGTAAACAATTTTCATTTGCGATATTTTCGCTGTTTATATTGTGCATTTATAACCTCTCCTGCTTTCGTTTCAGTCAGCGTCCAGATTAGATTGTACCCTTACATTTCCCAGCTTCTTGTATTTTTCCACTCTGCCCCTTCCTTATTCATTTACTGACATTAAAAAAATGTCTGACGTTTAAAATAAGAAAACAATTGAGGGAATTAAGGAAGATAATACTGGGCACATCCAATTTCAAATGGCACTTTTCAAGCTCATATACATGTAGTTAAGAGATAAATAATTAATTTAGCACGCGTTGATCATTGCAAAACAATGCAATTTAGTGTTGTCCACAATTACATCGAACGAGAACAATTAACCCTTCCCCAGATTGAAGTGGCAGGCACTAAAGATCGCATATTGCTTGGTATTAATGACGGCGAGAGGGGCATGCGTAATTACGTCTTTGTACTAAAGACAAGCATGCAACTCGAACCAGTTCAGTGATTTAATTGTGCATTTCCGTCCACATTGAGTCACGAAATGATAATTTGATTGAAAAGTAATTAATGTGTGCCAGTTAAAACGCAGCATTATACGGGTAAAGTGCTGCAGTAAGAGATGCCAGTTTCGATCACGATTAATCATTCTGTAGAAACCAGCGTCACAGAAGTATCATTTAGATTAAAATTATTCGAAAAAAAGTTAAAAGTCAAATACGAACTCTTTCGCCAAAACCTGAATACCAAGCAGGAGTTGTTAAAATATTAATACAGGCCTCGTTCAGTACCGCGCGCACCAAACCGGAGTTCTGAGCTTTTTGGAACCGTGTGTTTTGGGCCTTGAATGGAGGATTATGCTCTGTGTGATAATGTGCTCTTTTCCTGTACACGTACAGTGTCCGTGGATCTAAACCGAGACAGGGCGGTAACGACTCTGTGTTTCTGTCTGTCGTAACTACATGCGCACACTCACTCTTATAAAATAGAGCAAAGATCTAGATTGTTGAGTCTAACCACAGCGTACAATGCGTGCCAGACAGCGCGGCGGTTCATAAGAATTCAGCGTGACAGAATAGGATGTAGGCGTCTCTCGTGTCGTATCAGCCGAGGAATTTTGAAGATGGGAATTTGGAGATAACAGCTACTACATGTTTATAACATTCAAGTGTTTCTGTGCAACAGAGCCTATCTCCACACCAGTGCCTGTCAATCAAACGGAAATGGTTGGAAGAGTTGGAACGAAATTCCCGGTCTGCAGCGGAGAGCAAGACTTTTAGTCCTTATCGAGACTACTCATTCGAAGCACTTCGGGAATTTCAAAACAAAAAGATTATCCAATTAGCGTTTGAGACTGCCGCTCGATAAAGTCAATAAATACCAGTTGTATGTTATTCCTTCATGTTGTGTGTTCGATCAGAGGGCCGTTTCAAATTTCATGATAATTACCCAAAGCAAGCGCAGTCTATATTGTGCGTTAACATTCCAAATTCGTGCCGAGCAAAGAAGTTGATTTCAAACGCAATCCCAATTTGGAGTGTGATTTCAAATCTCGTCCACTCTCAGAAGCAAGTAAAAACCGAATTTTGGTTCTTTTTGCTTGACAGATTATGGAGATGCAGATGTTGCGGAGTTATTATCACTACTTATTCACGTCAATGGTAAGAAGGCATAACAATGTTTACATTAAGTGATCCTCTGCCACCTACAATTCACCTTATAGTTCAATTAACTTTGAAATTTTACCCGTTTGTATGCACCACATCAACTACAGAAATGCCCAGCAACCTTCCTCATGTTCTTGTATTGAAGTTGAATAACTGAAAAGAGCAAGAAGACTGGAAGACTTTTAAAGTTACATGATATTGATCCTTGCTTTCCTCTTTTCATCTCGAACAGGACCTTACTCTACTTAACATGTCCCGATACAGCGGAGACGGTGTTAACATCACAGCCGTCCATCTCCATGATACGGAGAGCGCAAAGTTCCACCAAGTGGCCTTGGACTGGCGCTCGCAGTTCCCCGAAGCCGACACACACCCCATGGAAATGGGATTAACGGTGAGACTGGAGAAAAAGATTGGACGAGTGCTTCAATACTGCATGCCACAATGTTTGCTATTCAGCACCATTTGCATTTTTAACGAAAGCGGTAGTGTTTGTAGAATTCTAACGACACTTTGTGTGTCTCTAGTGCAAGTCACTGTGGTCAAAGAATAAATTCAGAACCACGTTCCAACTAGTAGTACGTCTAGACGACAACATTCAAATTAAAACCCAAATAAAAGTTCTACTGTTGCACCACCACCGACGGTTCTTAAAAGCTAATTTGGACCTTGCTTTCTCTTTTTATCCCATGTCCTACAGACGGAGGCTATGTTGATTATTGATGCTGTTCACGTCTTGGCCGAGGCGTTAACATCGCATTTGGGTCGAAATATGTCTCTCCAGCGTCTGTCCTGCTTCCACGGCCACAAAAAATCCTGGGACTACGGTCTGTCCTTCTTCAACTACATCAAAAGTGTAAGAACAAATCAAATTTGAGTGCTCGAGTCGGCATTGCTACAAAACTACATAATATGGTCTCGTATGACACATAATCTGTGTCTATGCTGACAATTGCACACCTTTGACACGTTGCCAGGTTACCTTGAAGAACGGTCTGACGGGAGAGGTGAACTTCAGCATCAACGGCGGGCGAGATAATCCCAAGATATTCATCTCCGAGCTCTTTGACACGAGCGGATTGAAGCAGGTACATTGATAGCAGATCATCTCTACATACAGCAAACGCATGTCGACGATTTAAAAAATACAGGACACGATCTGAGTTCCTCATGCTAACTAATGGCTCATAATAGTACCAGACCGACACTGTCTATGCTAAGTCTATACTATGGCCATTGTCGTCTGATCTTACTGGCTCGTGATTTATTATTCAGAGGGGATTCTGGAATACGTCAAGGCAAGTCCACCTGAAACCACGAGATATAACCAGCGTTGGTGACCTTTCAACGTATTACAACAGGACACTAATTGTGACAACTATCAGAGTAAGTGCCGTGAAACGCATACATACACCTTATTGGTATAACGATCCCTTCCAAAGGATCATTTGTGACCGGATTGAACAACTTAGAAAGATTATTCTACGTTCAAGATAAATGTTACATCTGTACCGCAGCGACGTAAGTCTGGGTTTAGATAATGATGCTGAGTGGCGATATTCATGCGTCCATAGCCAAGTGTTGGTGAATCCTTGTAAGAGATGAAGAACTTAAGCTGTGGTCGAATCACTACGAAACGAGTCCATTGCGATCACAAATCAAAATCAAGTAGACGGGATGAGCTCAGACAAAAGAAATCAATACTTTTTCACAGTTTTCATTTGAAAGCCCACGACTTCAGGCCTCATGACCGTAACGTGCACTTGGCGAGACGCTCTAAAGTGCGTTTAAAACAATTCTGTCCACGAGGCCCGTGTCATGTTTGCATGATGTCTAATGTCATGTTAAACGAACCCTGCATGTGCAACTAGCCTGGAGACATTATGATCAAGTTGCTTTCACTCATAATTGTACATTCATCTGTTCAAATCCCTAGGAGCAGCCGTACGTCATGTACAGGGAAACCGACAAAGAAGGCGTGCCGGTCACAGGCAACGACCGTTACTATGGCTTCTGCATTGACATGCTGAAGAAGATCTCGGAGATCCTCCATTTCTCCTACAAGATAGTGGAGGTGGAGGACAACAACTACGGCTCAGAACTGGAATCTGGAAGGTGGAACGGTATGGTAGGGGAACTTATGGAGAGGGTAAGAACTGAATCCAAAAGAACCATTCTTTCATCGATCTATACGGACAGAGTTGAGCTCACAAAGTCCCTTTCACCGACGCCAGATCATAAGATATCTGTTCAAAAAGTCCAAGTGATATGAAGATAATTCAAGTGACCCATTTAGGATAACATAATCAATCCATTAAAAGAGCCGCGTCTTTTTTGGAACTATTACATGTATGTCATGCTTCACACAAGTCCATGATATCCCCAACTACTATAAATGAAAATATTAATATTCTCAAATTACCTGGTAAGGTTTCTAGTTTTAGATGAATGAATGCAGCTTCTGATCACAAAGTAATGATGCACTAGTTTTGTGTCGTTTCCAATAAGCAAGCGGTGATGGCTCTCTTTAAATCTCTGTTGCACGCTTCACTTGGCAGAAAGCTGACCTTGCAGTGGCTCCACTCACCATCACCTACAGCAGGGAGCAAGTCATCGACTTCTCCAAACCCTACATGCATCTGGGTATCACCATCCTGTACCGGAGCCCCGAGCCCCAGAACCCTGGAGTCTTCTCCTTTCTGAACCCACTCTCATTCGATGTCTGGCTGTACGTGGTCCTGGCCTTCTTCCTGGTTAGCATCACCCTCTTCCTGTTGGCCCGGTTCAGCCCTTACGAGTGGTACAACTCCCATCCCTGCAACCCGGAATACGACGAGGTCCGGAACCAGTTCAACCTCACCAACTGCCTGTGGTTCTCCTTTGGCGGGCTCATGCAACAGGGCTCGGAGGTCAACCCGCGAGCCTTCTCCACCAGGGTTTTGAGCGGCTTCTGGTGGTTCTTCTCCCTCATCCTCGTGTCGTCCTACACCGCCAACCTGGCTGCCTTCCTGACGGTAGAACGGATGGTGTCGCCCATCAGCAGTGCTGATGATCTCTCAAAGCAAACAGAGATTGAATACGGCACAAGAAGCGGCGGATCCTCAGAAACATTTTTCAGGGTAATTAAAATAGTGTTTTCAGGGCACCAGCTGAATGAAAAGATTGATATTACTGCATACAAACTCCAAAGGTAGCCTACTTCATTTGAATACCAAATTAACCTTTAATCACCCACCTGTTATTTATAGACACAATAGCAATCAAGGATTTTTTTAAGCAAAACTTCACCTGTACTATACCTTCTTGTTTTCAGCGATCGAAAATCCCAACCTACCAAAAAATGTACGAGTTCATGAGTGCCCGACCACACGTCTTCTCGAAAACGTACGACGAAGGGATCGAGAGAGTTCTGAACTCCAAGAACTATGCTTTCCTGCTGGAGTCCACCACAGCGGAATACCGTATCTCCCAGCACTGCAAAAATCTGACCCTGATTGGAGGCTTGCTGAACTCCAGAGGTTATGGTATTGGCACACCACTTGGTGAGTGTCAATCAGTATGTTGAACTGATCTTGCAAACAAGGTCGTACCAACAGCCCTTATGTTACAGGCTAATCTTGCGATGGATTTGAATTACAAGCCATTATTGCGATGGTAGCAAGTTGCACCCGGATTGTAGCGATTTGCTCTATTGGGCTGAAGTGTGGTACCATTGCGGTAGCAATGGGGTCTCCTTCGATCAGTCTATCAATAGTTACACTAGCTTTTCATGATTCTTCAACCTTTGCAGCTGCAATGTCTTAATCAAAAATTTGTAATTAAGCTGTAGGCCTATATGAAACGCAAGTGGCAGGCCAGATGCAGCCGTCCAGTCTTAATTTAGTCACAGTAATTGCATTTAAATAGATATTGACATGGGACTTTCTCATTTGGTTTAATGATGTGGGATTTAACTACCTGTGGTTAGCCAGTATAATTTGACGTGGCCTTCGTGATTGGCTAAATCGTGGAGCACACTTATCACATGAGGAATTTCGCGTTCTCCCCTCTTATATAGAATGGCAGAAACATTTTCTTTACAATAAAATGGAAGAATCATGAAAATGATTCGATAAAACCACTATTAGATAAAACCACTATAGGAACCGAAAGATGTTTATGTATTCGCTGGTATGCATTGTTGTCATTTTGATCATGAAGCGTTGTGATAATTGCCATAAACATTCACCTGTAATTACATTTTTGCACCTCAAAGGCTCAGCGCTTCGGGACGAGATCACCAAGGCCATCCTAAGTCTCCAAGAGGACGAGACGATAATCCGCCTCAAGCAGCAGTGGTGGAAGTCGGCCAACTGCCAGAACAACAACGCCAACCAAAAGGAGGACGCCAACGAGCTGGGCGTGAAGAACATTGGTGGCATCTTCCTGGTTCTCATCTCAGGGTTGGTGGCCAGCGCCATGGCAGCCGTGGCCGAGTTTGTGTGGAAGTCGCGGCAAAATGCTACGCTTGACAGCGTAAGTTAGTGTTGCTATTACCTTCCAGCCAAACGCACGCTGAACCAGTTCAAGGAGTTTTGGAACCAACGACCAGTGTCTAGAATCCTTAACAAAGACGATATTGAGGAACCTTAATGCACGTTGGATGCCTGTCGGAAAATTCTATTTAGGAGTTCCTGCATTTCCACGTAATAGAGTTTGACAGTTTGACACATACACACAGAAACGATGTTTTGACTTACCAAAAATCAACTAAAAACACAGCGAGTTGGGAATGTTCCCTGTCAGACTGTGTTTTACCCTCATTTCTGGGCTGGGCATTTACCACGGGAGATCTTAGTTAGGGATCAGTCTCCTGATACCAATACTGAGCTCAGCGTAAGACTTCTGTACCTGGACATTACTTGACACCTTGTGCCCAAACCCTACGAGACTGGTCAGAAAAATGCTGAGTGTTTTCCAAGTAAATACTTCAAAATTTTCTCAGCTAAATTTCACTTTTTGGGACATGTTACTGGTTTTTAGTGGCTGATATGTCATTCGGGAAAACATCAGCGATGTCTAGATTATGGATTTCCCGACCTGAGCACTTGAGTACAGAAGTCCAATTTATCTTACACCAACCATACGTAGGTGTAGCTGCAGGAGTCAACAACTGTTTCAACGTTTTGCTAATTTTTTCTCCTATGCTGACAGAAATCGCTTTGCGGGGAGATGATGGCGGAGATGAGGTTTGCCTGCCGATGCAACAAAAGACGGAATAGTAAGCCGGTAATAGAACACAAGTACATCCCCACCGCAGCCTACCCTGCGTCAGGAATGAATGGACAAGCCATACAAATGGCAGAGACGGTAGCTTGATGACTTCTCGACTAAGGGTATTACTGACTAAAACTAGGTCTGTTGACTCAGTGGATAGATCTGCAGTGAGCCTTATTTACAGCCAGAGGAGAAAACAAGGATATATAGATTGGGATCGGCAGAGACTACACATTACCAGCTGATGTGAGAAACTGGAGAGATTTGGAAGAAGCCTGCTGATTCTTCTGGACGTGAATGCCTAGAGCAGAATGTGCACGAAGCGATCAGAGGGAAATCATTCTCTTCTTGTGTCGCGGTTGCTTTCATTCAGAGCAGCACTTGATAGCTGATGGTATTCAGTTTTAGTCTAGGTCTTCCAAAATTTGCATCTAATACATACATACCGTCCCATAGCGTCGCAAGGCAAGCTCTCCGGCGGAGCTTAAAAGGCATCGTGATCCAGCAGGGAAGTATACATGAATCCACGATCATTTAGAAAGGTGTTTCCCATAGCCAGCTGGAACCTGGAACGATTGCTGGCTGGAACTATGTCTTATTCCGTGTCCTTTGAAGGAAGCAGCCCAAAGGTGTTGACATTTTGCCAAAGAGGACGTCCCAGTCGCGAGGCTTGTACAACAGAATCATTCACCTTTAGTGACAGTCCCAAACTGCGTACTCAGTCACCAGTTGAGAGTGTAATGTCGTTTCGGATTAACAAGTACATGTAATGTCACTGTGGACAATAAGTCAGTCTAATCTTTGACAAGAATATTTTACAAACGATGACTCTGCAGCTCCAAAGGTCTGCAACAGGGTATCACCGATATTAGACGGGGCAATGATAACTTCAAAGTCGAGCAAAAGCCACCAATGATGAAACATTATCATCGGCTCAACATTAAACTTTTTAAAAACATGGCTGGCCATGTACTTTTCTGGAGTTCATTGAGAAGGAAGATGTAAACTAATAATTCGCTGACGTCAAGAGGTTCCAACATGTCTAGGCGGCAAAAAACGTGAACCTATGAAGCAGCGTTGTAAAGATGCAGACGACACTCAGTGATTGTGCAGTCTCCTTGATACAGGGTAGTGTCAACTAGCGATACTGAGAACCAGCTGTCTATCTTTGATGTTGCTGATGGCTCTCGATTTATCTAGGAACCATCAGTTTTAGAAGGTCCACCAACCGTAAGCTACGGTGATTCTCCCCCATTTGGGCATTTCAGTCTTTCCTCATCATCAGTGAATTATGCAAATTGTTTGGAGGAATACAAGCTTCCACAATCTTCCCCATCTGCGCTGATTGATTAATTTGGTGATGTACATATGATGATCTTTGATCACATGATCACCACGTGTCTCTGGACACTTAACAAGGACCTTTCCTTCGCCAAGCCTGATAAAAGGCTATCTGTAGTGAGTGTGTTTTTATTCTGTAATTGAACTTAAAATTATGAGATAGCAACGATACCGGTACCGGCTATAAGAGCACTAGAGGTTCTGAAGATGCTACCCGTAGAAGAATCACATGGCACGAATTTCCTGATCTTTCCCTCAGTTATATATCCCTTTGTACACCGACGAAAACCTTGTGCTCTCATTTACTATATCGGGGCAAACCTGTAAAGAAAACCTTTTTGTAAAGAAAATGTGCAAAAGGATAACGATCTTTATTCAGAGCTTAGTTTGAACATATGACAGGACTGCATAAAAATCAAATCTATTTCCTACTAATCTGTCAGATAGGAAAGGTGTCACGTTCGTTAAACGCACAGACGGAAAAGCTACGGTAGCTCGATATTTAAAAGATATATATTTTGGTTTGCATGCCCTATGTATCAGCAATATACACACCCATTGAACCAGTGGCTGTGCAAATCTGTACATGCATGTAAAATTATGTAAAAAGCTACAAAAGAAATTTTATAAAGAAAGTAAGTTTTCTACAACCTACCTTGATTTCTTGTGTTACTATGTATATAAAAAATATACGCAATTGCTCGGAGAAAATATATGGTGTTTCACTGCTGGCAACAATTGCTGTGTATTGCAATACTTCCATTAATTATGGTGTTGAAGAGTTGGGTTGAGAAAGGAGAGTAAATGGAGTATTTCTTTGATGTGACATATTTTTGCTGTTAATCGAATTGGAGCAAAAAAGCCCCACCCATTTGGATGAAGGTACTTCTTAATGCTCTCTCTCTCTCAGACTGGGGGATAAAATAATGGTATCACTTTCCTGAATGCCATAGTCACAGCCAACGTGCGTGCATTCGTGCTAGATATTGTAAAGGCCAGTTCGTGCTTCAGGCGAATGCTAAAACGAAGCGAATTTGACGTCACGAAAAATTTGCATCGAAATTTCTCCCGACTTGGAGTCTGTTTAACTTTTGCGAATTAGCAATGCAAGTATTTGATCTGACGCCACAAAATTCGCGTTCAAAATTCGCGTTAATAGCTCGCTATTAACCGGCCTTAATAAAGTTTCCCTTTAATAACAAAACAAAGTAAATAACAACAAACGGCAAACCCTTTTTTCATTCTTTTCATAAGTGTAGTACTGTTATGATTTGGGGGCCATAAGCACTTTAACTCGGTCAATGTATTGGTACAGATGCGTTTCATAGTACTAAAGTTACGTGCTAAAGAGTGCATGAATTAATTGAACACAACTGAAAATACTTCTTCAAGTCAAACATCTGTTAATTTAATGTAATTAAAGGCATATCAGCCTTTTGTGTGAAACTGACATGATTTCTTAAGGCTGTTTTTTTCAGATTTTGAAAACTAAATTATTTGCTGATTTGAATATATATATCCTTTGTGTGTAATTGACGTTGAAAGTGTTTGTACGTTCAAAGCAGAACGAAAAAAAAATATATATACCAATAACACACCACTCCTATTTTGGGCCAACTAAGCAATTTGGTATTGATACTAATCACTTTGAGATTATTTTTTCCGCTTGGAATGATGAAATGTGATTACTGACTTTTCCCATGCTCGACAAAGCAAGACGCTATGTTATTGTTTCGCATTATTTTCGAAAGAGAAGAACAGTCCTAAACGTTGTTTCAAAAGGGAATTGGAATAGAACGGAAAGTGTTGTTCCTTCGCGGATTAGAAATTTCTGAAGTTTCGGTTTCATTGATGATCAGTTTTATCCTTGAATGATTTCTTTCTTCTGGCAGTATGCATAAATTCTGCGTATGACATAGTGTACTGTTTTCGTTTTAGAAATGCCTGGTGCACCTCTATCGCAATCGTTTTACAGAATGAATATAAAGAAGTAAAGTTGGCTTGATTGTTGCTTGCTTCCCTGTTTTGTCTGTTAACTTTGCTTTCTTTATACTTTTATTGCCTATAAGGTAAATTGGCATAGTTTTGAATCAAAATTAAACTTTTTTGCTTAATGAGAAATTACCTTCAGCATCATTTTTAATTTCACCGAGAATGCCTTTTAAAGCAACAGAATATACAAGAGTTTTTCCTGGTTTTCCTCTGCAAATTTCAGGTAAATTAAAATTTGTCTTGCCCAAAATTGAATAAAATGACCAAGGTTCAAGCCTTACCTTTTCTGTAAAAGTTGGCTAAGTTGCATTTTCCTGAATGACATGGAAATTCCTCTTCAAGTATCAGGAATATATATGAGGAAAGGTTGCCCTACATTGTTTACTTATTTGAAGTTCAAATTTTCGTAGAATTTCACTATTTTTTAGAAAACAATCAAGACGAGTTAAAACACTCTGCCTTTTCTCTATTAATTTAGGCAATTTCAAATGCCATTATTTCTAGCCCTAAACTGAATAAAATTGCAATGAAATTCAGATTCCATCGTTTTGGGGTCAAATTTAATTAAATTTGCAAAGGATTAACTTCACTTTTTATCAAGGATATGATAAAAAGGGACTTCTTTCAAATCACCTAAGACTGCCCATTACGTTAAGAAGAAACGACGAAAAAGTGGAAAGTTTTAGTCGAATGGGCGAGTCGTTTCTCTGACTTAAACCACGTCCCCCCCTCCACTATTGTTCAATTGTACAAAAGAACAAAAAGGCTTTACTGATGCTTTGAGATGAATCCACCATTTGTCCAGCGTTGGCTGGCTATGACATTTGCATGTACATAAAAGCTTCATTCCTGTCCCAATTAAGCCATTGAGGAACTCCTCGGCTGGGTGCACAACTATTTTTCATTCACATGCACAGTACATGCTTTACACATTACACGCAGACCTGCAGTCGACACCATCAGTGTATGGCACGGTCCACATGGATTTATATCTATATGTTAGTTGCAGAAATACGCTGAATTTAAGTTAGCAAAAGCTATCGATATGACTGTACAGAGCAGCGGCCCTTCACACCACCACCAAGCACGTTTCCCGAGTGACCGATTTGAAAACTACAGTTTACTGTCTCTTCAAATGAAGATTACGTTTACAACCTTAGAAGTATGTACTTCTAAGTTTGAAATCCACCAGGTCACCAATGGAAATTCTTCGGTTTGGAAATACATGCATTTGGAATATCATCTCATTCATCTGGGAATTATCATACGTAAGTTTCTAAACGATTAATCTTTTTTGCAAAATTGTACATGAGTTGTAATTGCTGAAGCTGTTTTTAAAAGTTGTTCAATAACAGAGAAAGAGGTACAACTGAGGTTTAACCGAAAGTAAAGTGGCTACATGTGGATTTTGAAATAAATACAAAGAAAAGGGATAAAAATAATCAAAGTTATATGTTACCATTGCAATAAATATCTAATTTAAAATGGAAAAGAAATGAAATTAAACTAAAATGAAAGGGATATGTAAAAATGAAACTAAAATTCAAAAGGTATGTAAAACGAAGGAGACACATTAACACATTATATAGCGCAACATAAGGAACGGTTCGCTTTAATTGAAAATCGCTAATCTCAACAGAAAACCTTACAGCGTCAAATCTAAAAAAAAATAATTTGAGTGTTAACCGTATTGAACGTCTAAAACAATCTGCTTTATTGTTGAGAGTATTTCTTACGGTGTTTGACGTTGTAATTTGATAATGTCACAAGTGATTTTTTCTTTGTGTATCAAGTCGCTTTTGAAGAATGTCCACACTCTACATTCTTACAATTAACGTACATTCCTTTCTCAAACTGCAATCTGAAACTGTACATTCTTTTTAGGAGCATTTCTTACGGTGTTTGACGTTGTAATTTAATGCCACAAGTGCTTTTTCTATGTGTATCAAGCGTACCAATATCCCTTTTAATGTTACAGTTTATTGTACATTCTTAAGAATAATTGACACTTTACTGAATAGGGTGACGTCACAAGAGTGGTTTAAATCAATACCCCTGCTATCTCTGCCACCTAAAATGAAACCATGAAGCATCATTTCTGAAGCACAATGTAATAAATTGGCAAGGGCTTTACCTTCTCTATTTCGAATCGAAAATCGTCAAAGCTGATCTCCCAGTGTCACCCAGGAATGCCCCCAAAGCAGTACCTTACATTTGATTGGACAGGTTCTGTCTGGTCTCTGCTCAATTTTGTGCATATTGACATTTCATCGCGTATATTGAACCTATATCCAAACACCACGGAAAGTCTCTCCCGACTTATGAATGACAACATAATTAAACGGTCAGAGGGTTAACCTTAATTTATTTTACTAAACACTGTCAAATTTGGACTTGGACTCTCGAAATCCCTCAGGAAAGTGCTAGGGCATAGAAAACGTTCCCTTCTGATTCCTATTCTGAAAAATGGGTTCTCCGTTCGCCCCAACTGGCTTGCATTACAAGAAACCTGTACATACAAGAGCATCCATCCGGAGAGGGGATTTCATCCCGGGACTTTGCACAAATGAGTTTTCAACCTCGTGACGACCTCGTCGAACACCCTCCCCAACAGTTTCAACTCCCTTTCAGATAAAAGCTTTGCACTGTGTAAAATTTGACGATTTTCCACTTCATATCTCTTTGGTTACAGTTCAATCACACTTTCAAGTAATGTCAGTACAATAAACTGGTTACATTTGCCAATATATTTTATTACTTTTCTTTTCAGGGATGCATGAGTAAACCATGCTACAAATGTTTCCGTTATCAATAGTAATAGTATTATAGGTATTCACACTAAAGGCACTAGAACATAACATATACAATAGTTCTTTCATAAATCCTCCAGCATATATGACTTCATGTACAGGGTACCATACCAGGGGACCACTACTATTGATAAAACATACATGCAAACTTCTCTACAAGAAAACATTTCTACAAAGGCGCGATATTTTAAAAATCTTACTGGAATAGTCCTTAAACATATTTTGCAACACATTTCCCTGAGTTTTGTGCGCCAAAGGGTGCGTTTGAAGAAACAAGTTATCGTAATTTTGAGAAACGACCCTTGTTCATTTTCATAAAAGGACATCTGTGCAGTCACTGTTGTAATCCAGTCATATTCGGAAAACATTCACTGACCCAGTACGGTTGACCGCCATTCCACGCATACCATTTTCTATATATCGGTATTCTTGGGGTCTTGGGGGAAAATGGCATTGACTCCAGCTGCACCGACTGGACTGGTGGCAACTGCTGCGCTGAAAACCTGCTATTACCCGCTAAATTGTGGAGAGGTTCCTGGAGCCAATTTTTTCTAATCGGTGGCACTGCAAATTAGACTCATATAATTCCTCTTTTCAAAAATAAATTGAATCTAAAAAAGCCCACATTTACGCAAGACGACAAAATATTACCCTGAAACCAATTAAGTACTATTACAATGTAAAGTTCATATCAAAATGAACAAGGCACTCGCAAGAAGCTGAAGGAAGGGTGAAAAAAAGGCCCCAAAGTGAACCCAAAGTGGTTTCGGGTCCTGTCAGGTTGGCGTAGTTTTGGGTGTGGTTCCCATCTCAGTTCAACAGGGACTGCACAGCGCGAGAGTGCAGTGGCAGCACCACGCCCTGGCGCTGCAGCTCTCTCAGGACCTCCAGGATAGCGTCCAGCTCCTGCCGGAACTGCTGCAGCTCCCGGTTCTTGGCAGCCAGGGACTGCTGGTACCCGGCTATCTCCTGGTCTTTCTCATAGGAAGCCGAGTACCTGGCTCTGGTCACGAGCTGCTGGAGCTCCTGTTCTCTCTGCGCATGCCTGAAGAAGAAAGACAAGAAAGGAATAGCTATCAATTTCTGTGCTAGAAAAGCAGAGTTCTAAGATATTGTAAAGCTTGGATTGTTGTATTTACATGTATGCATTTAAATTTAGAAAAAAAAACACAAGAATCACTTTCTATTGGTAACACAAAGTTATTCACTTACTTGGCTTCCATGGATGCAATCTTGGCTTGAAGTGCCTCAAAGTGACGCATTTCCTGAAGAAGTAAATTAAATATTTGTTTTTAAATGTGGTAATCGGTGCACGCATTTACAATGATTGGCAGTATGGTGGGGATCTTCCATTTCAAACGTTGATGTACCAGTTTCCAATTATCAAAAATGAATCGAATTCAATAAACGGCATTTGTTATTCGACAGGATTTGGACTTACAGGACTGTGGGTTTTCTTGGCTTCCCGTAGATCCTCGTTAAGCTGTTCCACCTGGGTCTTGAGCACTTGCTCACGTACTCTGGCTGCTGCCAGGGAGTCTGTGTCCACCCTTGCCTGCAATAGCTGCTCTTGTAGATGCTTTATCATCACCTGGACAAGAAAGGCAGCAGTTTCCAGAATTACATCTTAAACTCCAGCCAACCTTCGGGAACACCTACAAACTTACCAACTCGCCTGTCCACCACATACTAAAATGTTTCCACCTGAAAGTCTATGGCATTATTCAAAATCCACAATTCTTCAGTGCACATGGAGAAGCAACTGAACTCTCAGAAAATTTCTTGATCTTCTTGAAATGAACCCTTTTTTAAACATGTCCAAGTTCTACTATGACTAAGTAAGGCTCAGTAAAACTGGCAGGTGAACCTCGTCTCACATAATGTACTTTGCACAGGACTCTGGCTGGTAAACGCTTTTTACTATGCAAATATTTTATACGCTTATCTAATTTCTATGAAATTTCTATGGGTCCTTATCCCAGACACAACGGGCAGTATTCCCACGGCGGCATTCCGACAGTTCTGAGATTTAGATACCCCATTCCTAATGCCACTGTATTTCCAATCTTTTGTCGTCTACGTTTGGGTCGAGCCTACTTCTGCCTACAGTACCTGCTGTGCGTCAATCTGGCTGACTAGCTTAGCGCGCCTGCTGTCCGCATGCTGCAGTGCCCTTTCAGCGACGAGCCTCTCCGTCTCAGCGGTGTGTTCAGCTTTTGCCCTGGCCAGCTGCTCGGCAGCCTCTTCCTTAGTACGGCGAACAGTGCCCTCGCTCTGTGCCAGCAAGGCCTGGAGGCTCACCCTCTGCTGTTCCATTTCCAGGGAGAGCTGCTCAAGCTGCTCAATAAAATGGAAAGAGATGCCGTGAATGAATGTCACAGCACGTGTTGACACGTGTCAACCTTCTGCTCCAAATATAAAACGTTAACCCCAACAGTCCTCAGTCCTCCAACAGGTGAAGGACTGAGGGTTAATGTCTGTTAAAGTGTTCTTCGAGTAGGATTAGAGAGACAACCAATATCTACCACAATGTACCTTCAAACCATTAATTGAAGGTTGAATTCAATTCAAAAGCTGAACGGAACTGGATTCCAAAACTCACAGCAATCCTACAGGCCCAATTAATAGCATATATCTTGACTATCAACTTCTCTTGTCTGGCCATAGATACCCCGTTTATGACAACATTGTAATAAACAAAAACTAATTTTTAGGGTATCTATATTTCAGCCTAGACATAATCCTTTTTAACTCTTAGTAAAAAGATGGACAACTACTTCAGACATAGAACAGTTTCGAAGTATTCTTGAATACAACTTTTGGATGAGCTATTTTGAGATATTCCCATCTTTTACAAAATTCCGCGCTATCGTACTCAGCGGTACAAACAGTCAGCAGTGCCATATATGGTTAGTTTAATTAATGCATGTCCTGACGTAGTGTAGTGCTGTCTATTTTAATGTTATGTATTTATTAGTTATTATTTTAGTGGGATTTATTTATTTATGGTACATGTTGATATTTTTATGGTGTTTTTATGGAGTATATTTATATGTATTTAATCTGTAAATCAAACTTGTTTAGTCCTTGACTAGTTGTTTGATGTAAATGTTAATTTTAAGTAAACCATCTATGAATGAATGAATAGCTGTTGCAAAAAGTTGTAGGTGCTGTACCTGCATTACACAATCTTCAACATGAGATCAAATGTTATATTTGTTGGCAACATCAACACAGTATTTTAATAGTTAAAGGGTCCACATTTCTATGCCCTACTCCACGCTCATTTTGTTTCACAAACCAAGAATGATTAACTTGCTCTCCATGCGCTGTTGGTACCTGTTCCTTCAGTCGCTCATTTTCCGTCAACACGTCTGAGATGTGGGTCCCACTGAAGTTCTCTGGCTGGTACCGCTTCTCTCCTGACGGCCCAGATGATGACGACTTAGTTCTCTTGGTTTTCTTGACTGGCTGAGGCTTGTCTGTTCCAAAAAAGTTTGGTTTGTGAAGTTGAAAACAACCTTGAGAATCCGAGATCATGTCACTGTTGCAACAGCCGTAAGGAGGGTTTCTCAGACATTTTCAGGAGTAATAACATTACATCTGTTCCTCCTCTTTTTGCTTGGGACTCATCTTTTGCCTCATAAATAATCTGTCTAGTCTATGTAAAAATACTCCAGATTTTGCTGGAAACAGCCTTATAATATGAGAACTTGACTGTGGGTCTACATCAAGTCTGCCACCAGACACTGGCTGCTTAAACTTAGTGAAGAAAGTTATAATAGTCGTCAGCAATAGTGACTATGTCAAAGTTCAGTCGTTTGAATTCTGTAGCATCATCGTCAATATCCTCCATTGACTGGTCACAGCTGCTTCAGAGACAACTCAACACCCCTAGTGCAACACTCGAGTAGCAATTTCTCAGTCATGCGATTTGATCACAAACCAGCCTTGAGTCTCCAAAGTCAAGGCCTAAAAACTCCCTACAGTGTTGCAAAAAGATTAAGCCAAGGTTTGGATGAAACCTTTACATCAAGGATAACCTGACCTCTGGCCTGGTTAGATTCCCCTGCTGACAGAGCCTGGAATCGCTCCTGCATAAGTCTCTCACATGTTGCCTTCAGCATCTCTATCTCATGGTCTTTGTTGCTTAACTCTCTGAAAAGCAATGGGATTAACACAAAAACAAAATGCTTTACTTCAACAAAAAAATTGCTCACAAGAAATTGCAACTCAATGAATTATTTCAAAATATTCTAACCAATCTTGAGCATCTGAGACTGTCAAAACCAAAGGACGTTTTAGAGAGAAATCCATAAAACTATGCTGGTTACAACACAAAATGTTTACATTCCAAATTAAACTGTTTTCATTGCAAGTTTAAAGATTTTGTTACCAGGGCTTTGTTGCAGCTATTCATAAAAGCCACAAATTGAAAGCAATCCTGTTCCCATAACTGTCCTGAATCCTGTATAATTGTTTACACCCTTGAGGGCTAGGGTTGATGAAATTAACAATTATTTGTATTTTAAATATTGGAGTGTATCTTTAAACATTATGCCTACTTTGCGAGACTGGTCAGTTTCGTCTGCAAGGACTCTTCATCCAGCTCCTTCTCTCTGCCCTCTTCTCCCTGCTGTGGCTCATCCATCCAAGCCACCTTGCTCGCCTTGGTGAGCCGCCTCCTCAAATCCTCATTCTCTGCCTTCATCTCCTCCATCTTCTTCTGGTACACCTCCAGGGTGCCCCGTAGGTCCCTCTCTGGGGGCAGGGCATGCGAGTGGGTCTTGTTCTTGGCAGTTGCTTCTCGCTGGCTGTCTTCGCTGGCCTTGAGTTGTTTTTCAAGAGCTTGAAGTCTGTCTTCGTATTGAAACTGCAGGATAAAGAACCTCTCATAAAGTGGAAGGAAAGACCTCCAAGTAACACTTAAGAAGTTGGAGTACACATTCGACTTGACGAACCTACATGCTAAATATTGAGACAAAGTTTATGGAATTTGTTCATAATTACCAGCTACCTTATGCTGGAAAATTAAAGTACTAACCGACAACCAATGTGCATTACAGAAAATGCATGGAAATTTCTCTTTGAAAGAAAATCCTCTATGTCACACACAGCAACAAAACGGGTCATATTGCAAACTATTTCAAGAGGGCTTAACTGGAAATTAAGTACTTTCTCGCAGGAGTTTGGCAATGGTTTTGAGAGTTTGTGCGAGCACAAAATTAGAGATTTAAAAGGATCATGAAGTTACTTACTCTGCCATCTTTATTTCAAAAATATAGCCAACTCAAAATTTCAATAACAAAGTTTCATAACGGGACCAGAAAAATAAGCTTTTGCGAGTTACATTTGACTAGAATCTGGTACACTGAGTTCTTTAAATTTACAAGTACATAACACTTTGAATTTTCCATACTAAAGACATTGTTGCTACACCTCGTGGTTTGCGGCAAGCTTTTGCTTAGTTACATGAGAGATGCCTTGCAACAATACACTGTTTTAAATGGATAAGAAGGGCAAAAGGGAACCAGTCCATTCCAGAGATGATGGTCGCTATGCAAAAGCTTGCCCCAAATCACAAGGTATTGCAACAGTGTCTTTATTTCGGGGAATTTAAATCGTTATGTTTATGTGCAATTAGATAACACAGTGTACCAGATTTTAAACAAATTTAATTCTCAAAAGGCTTATTATTTTGTTACAACCTGGACTTTGTTATAAAAGAGTGGAAAGATGAAAAACATAAGAATTTAAGAAATTGGTATTCTGAGACTCTGTTCTTTACAACAGTATTTTGTTCTAGCAGTGTTCCTTTGTAGTGAGAGTCGACTGTAGATGCTTGACTCATGAATATTCAAGACGATTCATACCCTCATGGCATTAAATTTCTGCTCCAAGACCCTGGCAAACATCTTGGTCTCCACCTCTTTCTCGTCCAGCTCCGCCTCCATCTTCTTGACCTTCTCCTCCAGGAAAGCCACGGTGTGCGATTTAGGCGGGGCAAGGGTAGGATCCTGGGAGCCATCTTGGCCGGAGCCTGGCTGTGCTGAAGCGGCTGCGTAGATCAAGGCCGGGAGGGAGTTTGGATGGCGCCTCCTGATGATGTCGTTCATTTCTCGCACCTGAAGAAAATACCTCATTTCTGTTTTTCCCCCGTCTATTTTGAAATTCTTGTTTGCGTGCAGCATCAAGAATTAACTGATTAAGTTTGCATCATTTCTATTTTTACATAGCACTTGCCGAAGTTCTACATCCGTGAAAAAACGAAGAGAGTTTTGGCCAGATTTAAAAACCTGGGCAAAAACAATTTACCCTGAACTAGATGTTAATCCTAAAAGTCCTAAGTTCTTCAACTTTTGGAAAAATGAAGGCTTTTAGGGTTGAACAGGAAACCAAGGTCGTTAAGGTTTCATGTTTTTAATGAACTAGCATTACAACATAGGATGTTTGTTGTCTAAAAGACTTTACTAACTGTGCGAAACTAAGTGTGCAAAAGATTCCAAGATATCTCTGGTGAGGATTACTCTTACCTGTCTCTCAAGATCTTGGATCCTCTTGGCATCAGCTGCTCTCTCCTTGGCTCGCCGCTGGGCCTCAGTGGTCTTCTGGTTGGTCTGGACAAAGGCAACCAGGAAAATAGCTATGCTGCCTTTAAAATATGTGTAAGGGAATCTACTGCATGTGTCTGTGTGTGGTGAAATCACACTGGGTCAGTCATGGTGCTTCAACTCTGCCTTGGGTTGAATTGTTCATCTGAACATTCTCTGCACAAAATAAGCGCTACAACACTTCCCAATATTCCGGTTGAGATTTTGGAGCAGAGGTTACATCAGATCAAAAATGTAAAATAATATGCCTGACTGCCAGGGATAGATATAATTTTCATTTGTCAGGAAATTTTCTCCAATCAAGTTCAAGCTGTTTCCCATATTTTTAGTGATTGGTCGTGTAGACCTTGAAGGGTAACTTTTTTGCCACACCTGCTTGTTGACTTTCTCCAAGGTTTCCTTGAGACGTTTGATCTCCTCATTTTTCTCTCGTAGAGCAATGGCGTCCTTGTCCAGCATTTCTTGGTTCTCTGCGTACCATCGGATCTTCTTGTTGAGTGTGTCTATATCACGCTGGTATTGCTGCTGCATATCCTGATGAAAACAAGCCCAAAGAAGTTTGCAAACTGACAAAAAAGGACTTCATGCTTCAGTATCAGCAAGAACCGTAATTCAATCAGAAAAACGAACGACTCGCACGGACACCTTGTTATTATGAAATGTTCGGTCTAAACAATGCACTAAAAATGTCTTTTTGTCTGACATCAAGACAAAACCAATGTCTTCAGCCATTTTCAGCTACAGATTACACAATTTGTGTTACAATAAGAGGAGGCGTGACATGATTCTACGTTTGGCTGTGAGTGACTTCTGAAAAGAAGGCAGAAATATTGATTGCCTCAATGTATGATAGCTTTCTTATCTACTGCAGTTGAAATGTGAAAAGATCCCATATCCTGCACCTCCTAGATCTGTATCCTCAGCTGTAACTCTAACAAGAAAAACCAGCAGCCTGAATCTCCAAATATTTGAGGTTCTCATTTCTAAAAAATACTATCCATGTTTTCCATGGTTTATGTAGGAAATAGTCAGGGTTAGTGTAGAAATCTGGAAACCAAATTCCTTTCTTTCCTGGACCAAACTATGACATTCCATGACATTTAATGCCACTTTTCAGAGAATATTTGTTTGATATTATGAACTGGAAGACAACCATAGCCACTGTTGTAGCTCACCATGCCTCTAAATTCATAATTCCATCATCACATCAAAAGGGGCCCATTAAATCTAATCCTTCCCTGAACTTGATTTCAATGATTTTTGTTCCTCACACAGCAGGATTCAATGACATCCTATTTTCCTCATTTCCACTCCTTTTTCTGTGGGCTTCCAGGACAACTTGTTTCAAAGTTTTTGCGTGATTTTCCATACTCATTGGAACCCTAAATACCTAACTGTTGAAGACATTATGAGTTGAAATGTGAATTTTAATATTTGCTTTGGCCCTCATTTACACACTTTCTGCTAAGGACAAAAAAAAGGAAAATATTTTGAGTTCACTCTTCTCTTTTGAATTGACATCATTGATGTCACTTCCTTTGGAAGACCCGAGTACCTGAAACTGTCTCTGTTTAACGTCCCTGAGGTCCTGTAGCTTCACCTGGGCATGGCTCTTCTCTCTGACCAGGGTCTCTATGTGCTCCTTGAGCTCCTTGTTGGCCTCCTCAGCCTGTCGAAGTTGCTGCTTCAAGGCCACCTCCCGCATCTGATGCAAAAAAAGTACGGAATTAAGAATGTGTAACAATGGGCACTCGTCTTCCAGAAGAAACCCTTTTCTCCTGGACCCATTTTGTAAGCATTCTCAACCCTTAAAATCCTCCAACTGTCTCTGGGTCCGAGTTTGATTGGGCCTCAGCCTCCAAAGTTTTCCATCATTTCATGAAACTGTTCCTTGGAGGCGAATGATGTTCTGGAGCAGTGCCACAGATTTCAAATATAAGCTAGGCTTATATGTATGCCATTGCTGTCCATTGCACAATACATTATTCAAAATCAGCCACACTTTTCTGCTGTACAGGCTCAATCTTCCCAAATCCTTCAAAACCACTTGAAGATTTTGAAAGATTGAGGACAGTTCAATAGGCTCACTTCAATACTAATATTGAAAACGGAACTCCAAGAATGAAACTTCAAACATTTAATGAATAACAAAATTTGCAGATGATTTATAGGCCAGAATTTCCACTGAGACAAAAGCTAGCTCCAAGAAATAACTAAAGAACAGAAATGGGCAAGGCTAACCTCTGCTTCACGTAATTCCACTTGTAGCTCAGCAATCCTCCCAGCCCCAAGCACAGCCGTGTTATTACCAGCAGCTATCTCCTGTTGGACCTTGGTTCCGGTGATTAGGCCCTTGTGGCGAAGTGCCGCCTCTTTCTGTTCCAAAACCTCCCTAAAATGGAGAAGAAGTTGGAAGTGCCTAACTGCAATTAAGAGTCTCCTGCAAGCTCACGGCAGAGCACAGCAAAGCATGGCAGAGTATGGCAAGGAATGGCAGAGTA